GCTATGATTGTACGACTCGTTGGTCGTGTTATTCAAAATTGATAGAAGTTTGCACTCAATATTAATGCTTATAAGATAATTTTATTTAACTAATAGTTGTTTAAATGTATGTATTTGAAATGATGTGTTAGAACATATTGTGTAAAATGAAATCACAGTCAACTTATAGGTTATGTCGTTGCAACGTGTCTAGTTGATTTTATTTAATATACTAGTATATTTTATGTATGTTTTAATAATTTATTTTATATATGAATAATTTTCTAGAATTTAAATCTTCTTCTGGAAAGTATAAAAAAAAATAATCGTCAGAATTGAACTGCATTGCAGCAGCTATGATTGTACGATTCGTTGGTCGTGTTATGCAATTGAAAATGGTACGTCACGCATCGAAAAATAATACCATTATTGCCATAATGGTGCATGAGAAACGCAGGTATAATTATCCCTAAATTGTAATTATTTTAAATACTTCAGACAACACCGTGACTGAGAAAGAGATAAGAGGATACATATCAAGTTACACAATGGAAATATGTTTCATTTTATCTAGTTTTAGAATCTGAACTTTTTAAATTGTGGAACAAATCTCGCGTATATTTTTTTTTAATGTTAACAAATACAATGTTATCAAACAATTAAGAATACGTTTAATAGTTTATTTCGACTTTCTACTTGTGTAATAATTTTTAGAAGTATATCAGTTTTAAAATTAATCGTCTATTTCTATTTCTGCGATACGAAGAGACAATTTTTTAGCATGTTTCAATGCCAATCATATTGAATCAGCATAAAAAATAACCATACAATTCGAAGTAATACAAATGTTTGAATTGTTTTTTTAAATAAATTTCCTATGTTGCAATAAAAATGAAAGAACAGTCAGTATCATGATATTAGCAGTTATCGAACCCAAGCAATAAATATTGTAACAAATAAGATTTCTTCGTATCCAGTCACGGAAAGTCGAAATATTTCGCAATTTCTTGCAGTGTTAAACAAAAAAATCAGATATCGCGTTCTATCAGATAATTGCAAAGATCAAGATTAACGAATTGTGAAATAAATTGCATATACGTATCTGGATTTTTTAATAAATAAAGCAATGAGTTAAATTGTAAAAAAATATTTAAACTATTGTTAAAATGGCGGAAGATCATAGATCAAAATTACACATAAGTTTATCAAGTAAGTTCTTTAAAAATTGACAATATTTAATATTGTTATAAAGAATCGTTTATTATACAACCTCATAAAAATAAAGTACAAAGGATAAAATTATGTAAAATAGTTTTTCTTTTCTAAAAACTTTTGTCATTAATTAATCAGAAACGGAACAGCAGGAATAATTTGCCAGGAAAGGTTTGTTATTAAAGGCGTGATAAAAAGTGATCTAATCTAATATCGTATTACGGATATAGCAATTATCGCCAAACTATAATTTCACGTTACAAATAGTGATTATATCAGATGAAAACTTAATAACACGTGAAACGCGTTTAGTTCCTACGGCTACATATACCTCTCTCCCAGAGATCGAAACGATACATTTAATTATTGCAGTAGTTATGTATAATTTTAATCCTAAAGCATCTCTTATACAGGGTGTTCAGCCACCTCTGGGAAAAATTTTACTGAAACATTCCAGAGGCTAAAAGGAGACGGAAATCAAGAATACCAATTTCTTGATTGAAGCTTCGTTAAAAAGATATTAACGTTTAAAGTTCTGCCTGTAGAACGACAACATGCGAACAGCTGCGCACGCGCAATAGTGGTTCTCACTCAGAAAACTGTAAGGCTGTCGATGAATCGGTAAGCAGAGTTTCGCGCGTGCGCAGCTGTTCGCAGATCGCCGTTCTACATTCGAAACTTTAAACGTTAATTACTTTTTAACGAAGCCTCAATTAACAAATTAGTATTCTTAATTTTCGTCTTATTTTGGCCTCTAGAATCTCCCATTAAAATTTTCCCCAAATACCCTGTATAGAGCTAATGAAACATTTAATATATTTTTGTATTCGCGAGTGAAAAATCACAAGCAGTGACGTTCCTGGTTCTAAAGAGCTCTCGCTTCCCAAGCATGTGGATATAAGTACTCTTTGCAAACTGAAAAAAATCACACCACCATTCGTGTTGAATAAATGCTTTGTTCAACGATAAGTATCGCTCGTTCGCGACTAATTGTAAAAATACAAACCGCGACAGTTTCTTTTAAGTCATTAAGAACAAGTTAAGATTCTAAGGATTCTTTAACTTTAGGATTTTAGCGACTTTCTCGTAAATATGCAATTCACAAGTTCGAAGCAGGAAACGTGCATAACCGGATTCTATTTGAACAAGTTACGCAATGCTTGTGTACAATTTAGCAAGGAGAAAATGTCCATAGTGATTGTCTGGAAAATTTATATTTTTTAGAAATAAGAAATACGTGGTGTAAATTTGTTACTAAATAAAGAGGAAAAAGAATAATGTTCAAAAAGTCTGAACCAGGAAGCGAATGCACATAAATTTCCCAGGAATTCTGCTACCGGTGAATAATGATTTTTCTGCTTCTCTCGAACGCGGATGTTACGCTGCAGAAAACGCGCTAATAAAAAAAGAACTCGATCGGAAAAAAAGTTCGTTCCAATAGAGGCTGGCCCAATTTCGATTTATGCTACACCAAATAATTAACGAACCATGCATCTGTAGAATACATAAAATACCAAGCATGAAAAAATATTCCATACCTAATTGAATTAAAATTTTTCCAAACATACTTTTCAAAAATGCTCCTCATACTGTTCGAATAAATGAATACATCTTTAAATATTTTTTTTCGATCATTTATTACGTCGCGTCGTGAAAATATGTATTTTCTGTTAGATGTTTAAAAATGTAAAGTGATTCATAAAACTGAATTTATTCATTAAAATTCATGAATATATAACGGTCCCTGATGACCCTGAATATTTTCCAAGTAAAAATATGATAATGGACAAATTCTTATCGTTGTCGCACAAAAAAGCAACGGAAAATTACGAGTTAGAGTTTAAACAAAGTATATTATTTTTCTTTCCTGTGTAAAATTATTGCAACTTTTAATCATCTTTTTTTAAATATTATTCAGTGTCCCAACAAATTTTATAAATAATTTAAAGTACCATAAAAATGGTCATGTACAGGGTGTTCGGCTACCCCTAGGAAAAATTTTTATGGCAGATTCTAGAGACCAAAATAAGACGAAAATCAAGAATACTAATTTGTTGATTGAGACTTTGTTAAAAAGTTATTAACGATAAAAGTTCCGCCTATAATGAATTTTTTTCTAGAAAATGGGTAGGAATTGGGGGTTAGGTCTATTCACAAAAAATTATTGTAATTGACCTCTGCAACCAAAAATAATTTTTCCAGAACGATTTGAAATTTTTTAATTTTGTCGAAAAATTTCACACATTCTCGAATTTTTTTCTCGAAAGTGGGTAGGATTTCGAGGGTATATCTATTCATCAAAAATGCTTGTAATTGACCCCGGCAACCGAAAATAATTTTTCCAGAACGATTTGAAATTTTTTTTTTCTCCGAAAAATTTCACACCTCGAATTATTTTCTCGAAACGAGGTAGGATTTCAGGTTTATGTGTATTCGCCAAAAATGATTGCAATTGAGCCCCGCAATCAAAAATAAATTTTTCAAAACGATTTGAAATTTTTTAACTTAATTTTTTAATAACTTTTTAACAAAGCCTCAGTCGAGAAATTAATGTTCTTGATTTTTGTCTTATTTTGGCCTCTAAAATCTCCCATTATAATTTTTCCCAGTGGTGGCTAAACATCCTGTATGTATATTTTAATTATGTTTTACTATTCCCATAAATCACTGAGAAAGTTATGCACAATGTCATGGCCTACTCTGTTCCTGCAATTGTGTTGCATGTATTATACAATCATTACTCTTGAATATAATATCAAGATTATTTAAAGTACATTGCAATTTTTTCCTGTGTTTTCTTCTTAGTATAAAGCTGGATTACACAATCCATTATTTAGTATCATCCATATAGTTATACAATTTGTATTAGTCCATCGATGAAAGAAAATGTTGCATTGTATAAATTATTGTATTTATTTGAAGAACATAAGAAAGAATTAAAATATGAAGATAAAATAACTTCTGAAATTAATTCAATGCATAATTATATGCATTGTTTTGTTTAAATTTAACTTATTACATTAGTATTCAATGAAAAAGAAAAATATTGTGCCTGAGAGACACTTGTTGTTTTAAATACAGGCATACTGTATACACTTATTTAAATTTATCCAAGCAAAGATATGTTGGCACCTGGCCTGCATATGCAAGGTATCTAATAGAAAGTATTTCACATCCTAATGTATACTTCACCCTCTATTTACATATCAAGGTAGATAGCAATGTAACTGTGTGTTACAATTTTAATAGAAATTCACCCAACCATTTGGATTAAATGTTTCTTGTTTGTTTATAAAATATAATTATGAATTAAAAGTGTTCAAATGTATGCAATTAGTATTATAACATTAATTATATTTTTGCTGCAACTTAAATTCTTCCTATCAAAACTTACTAATATTTGATAAAATAAAAAAAATATTTGAATAGCTTCATATTTATGCAATATAATATTTACTTTCACAGGAATGCCACAGATGCATTTAACTTTTGTTCCGTATTATTATTGATTATATTTTTGCAACTTAAATTCTTCCTATCAAAGCTTAATTATCTTTTGATCAAATAAAAAAATATTTGAATACCTTCATATTTATGCAATATAATATTTATTTTCACAGGAACACCACCGATATTTCGATTGCATTTAACTTTTGTTTCGTATTATTATTCCGTAATACCAAGCATCGATTATTTAAGATTATCATCTAAATTATCTCCGTGAAGTATCTAATTATCAGAAGGAGGAATCGTCGAGCAATTTACGAAATTATTATGCTACTCGCGTAAAATTAAAAACTTCGACTTACCATTGATCAATGATTCAAGGTTCTCGTGAGTAGGGCTCATAAAACTTTTAGGCACGGGCACGCCAGCAATGAGACATTTGATGGCTAATCGCCACCTGCTAGCCTCTCGTAGATTATCCTCGTACTTGTCAAAGCTGAGAAATCGTAGAGTGACCGTCGTTCTCACGCGTCTCTTGACGCCTTTCATGCGGGCCTTCCGTAGAGTGTAAGCATAAATATAAAGATAGGCCGACGTATCGAATTCATCGTAGCACTGAAATGCTTCCACGGACTCGACGAGCTTCACCTGCGATCTCGAGGTGCCCGGCCCACAGACACAGCTTCCCGCGCTTTTACGTTTCGAGCGCATACATCTGCATCCTATTATGTCGTTCAGAACGATCGTTTCAACCTTCGTCGTTTCGCTATTGTCTTTCTCTAAGCTGAGGTTCTTCTCCGTCAACCTTACCTTGTAGTAGGTGTTTTTCTTGGACGTGACATAAAAGGTTTCCTCGAGAAGAATGCCAGAATGCACTTGACCACCGTCCTCCATGACACGCTGATGACCGTCTTTCATTCGATAAGAAACATAAATCACACTGATATTCGTACCATGGACAGGCCATTATCATGATCTTTAAGGCACGCGACGCACAGACATCTCATTCCACTGATAGATTTCCTCGTCTGGACTTTGCGGGATGTTGTCGTTTCGAAAGATTCCATTAAGAAAGAGTATCAACGTCGGTCACTTAACAATTTAATTGTCGCTTCCGCGTCCCTTTGTTTCGTCAAGCATTTTCTGAAATTGTACTTGCTGGATTTTCTTTGCACCTTTATGAATCTATCAAAAACACGTGCATTTCTCGGGCAACGCTTTTACAACACTGCCTTGTTAAAGTATTTTACGAATGGACGGTTTCTGTATCCTGCTCGTGTAACACTGTTCAAGTTTTCCTTTCGATTGAATATTCGTAGTCGGAAGAATGTGCTATCCCGAATTGCGATTGAAAAAAATTATCTCACCATTACCTCGGCTACTCCCGTACTTACGCGCATTCGAGCATTGAACTGCCTCGAACACACTGAAGTCTACGGCATATACTGTCTATATGAAACCTGAAGGACCAATTACTGCCGGCACTTGTGGAGTTCGTCACCAGAGGGCCACAAATTACAGATAATTCTCACAAGTTCATTTCAAATGCTATGTTTAAGTACCCTTAACGCTATCTCGCGTTAAGAAGATGTACTTCATCATAAATAAAAATATTTCTTTTACACAATTCCAACAAACTGCATTGCGCAAATTAGGAATTTCATGTGAATAATTTTTATAAACAGGGTGTTTCAAATTTTAGGAGCCAAATTTTGTCAATATGTTTTATAGAACTAAATAACAAAAAAATGTAGATAGACCTATGTTTATCATTTTTATGCTGTTTAGACCTATAGATTATACTGTCAAAGTTTGACTATTCAAACATGAAACACTCTGTATAGTCATATTATATATATGTAATTTCGATCAAAGTTAAATATGTTGACTTATTCTGTTTTTCTATGGCTGTTAGACACTTTCCCTCCAAAAATTCTTAAATATTTTGTAATTCTTTTTACAACGAAAAATGTGTGTAGTATGTCACATTTTTAGCGTAAAAATGATTACAAAATGTTTAAGAATTCGTATTACATTTAATACATACATTACATAGTTGATAGTACATATTAATAACATGTAAATGAACAATAATTTGTTTCTTAATGAAAGAATTATACATTGTTATTGATTTTCCCAATTAAGAAATACAGATTTAGTGAGTTAAGGAAAATCGTTTGATATAATAATTAAAACAATATTGCATAAACATTAAAGACAAAATTGTTTAAAAATTATTGTAAATATCACGTATTCATAAAATCGAACATTTTCTGTTTCACTACTTTTCTTCGCAAAGATAATTTTGAACATTTGAATAGTCCGAAGACGATACCAAAAGAGGTTATGATATTAATTATTATTATCCTATATCAATTTAATTTGTTTATTTGATAACATGAAATAATGACAAGTTCCATTTTAATTACTATCGAGTATCACGAGCGAAAATAATACTTTTCTGTAATAAATTGTTTACAATGAATTTTAATATCCTTCTTTTTGCGATATATTATGTAAAAATACTACTGGAAAATAATATTTTACAAAAGAAATATTTCTTACTATATAAATTTGTATAGTTTTTTTTCTTCTTTAGCTTGGCAATTCTGATTCTAGAGAGCAACAGGTAAACAGTTAAAATTATTTTTATTTGAATCAATCTTTTCTTTATTATGTATATCGACATTCCTAATAAGAATTGTAGAAAATATATGTATTCAGTTTATAGTTTATAATTAATTTTTCAACGTAGTTTTCTTTCTAACACAACTTTACAACACTGTGAACAACGCCCTCTTAAACATCCGTTTTGACGAATCCCTATCGACTTCGAGAACGAGATCGTCCGTTTCTTTTCCGGTTTATCGAAATGGTAAGGCGATGCGGTGGATTTGTTGTATTTATAAAATCAATAGACAATTGATTAATCTATGCCGATCGGAATGAGTGCAGATTTTAATAATGTTTCAGAGGTGTTAAAGAGAGTTAATGATAATTATTTCGTTTGTAGGGTATCGATATTAACCACAAACACGATAGGAAGGTTCGGCGTACAGAACCTAAATCGCAAGATGTCTATTTGCGACTCCTCGTCAAAGTGAGTACATCCACGTGTATTTTCAGTTTCTGTTTTTAAGATGAATATAATTTATTTAAGTTGTTAATAATTATATTATATAGTTTGTTTGACGTGAACCTTGTTAGAATCTAGTTAACACAGTACTTGTTGTCTATGTTTTTGTTGATATATCATCGTATTGTTAGTACTATATACACGTGATACTTATGAATTTATTTTGCGAACTGCACTCTGTGTTAGTTCTTTTATGGACTAATCCAATTTGAACGTTCGCTAAAGGAAATTTAGTCAACTTTACTATTCAGTCTTGTAGCAGTAGGCTAAAGATCTTATTCCGGTTGACACAATGCAATACAAAATTGATAGAAGTTTGCATTCAATATTAATGCTTATAAGATAATTTTGTTTAACTAATAGTTATTTAAATTTTTGTATTTGAAATAATGTGTTAGAACATATTGTGTAAAATGAAATCACAGTCCACTTGTAGATTATATCATTGCAACATGTGTAGTTGATTCTATTTAATATATGTTTTAATAAGTTATTTCATATATAACCAGATAAAAATAATTAAACATGAATTGATTTATAATTTACTTTTTATAATGTTGTGGACAGTTTATTAATATTTCAATGCAAACATTTATCAACATTATTTTATTCCAAACTGTTTTGTAAAAGTGTGTATTTCGTGTTTCTTATTGTAGCTTTACCGTTTCCTGGCTAGACGTACAAATGCTAAGTTTAATAAGGTTATCCTCAAGAGACTTTTTATGAGCAAGATACATCGTCCTCCAATATCTCTTGCACGTGTTGTCAGATTTATGAAGAAACCTGGAAGAGAAAATGCTATTGCAGTAATTGTCGGCACAGTAACAGATGACTCGAGGATTTTTGAAGTTCCAAAGCTTACGGTAAATAAACTGTACCCACAGCATATTGTTTTAACAAATAATTATCTTTTTATTTTCTCATTTAAACTGATAATAATCATTTACATAGTTTACTAATTCTATGTTTGCTATTAATTAATTCGGTATATTCTTCCGAATAATATACGTGGCCGATCGACATGAAATTTAGAGGGTTGGAGAGGGAGGGTAAATGAGTACTAAACGTAAAATTTTAGTTTTGTTGACTAGAAAGCGTTAATTTGCAATATACTATTCTAATTAAACTTAAATATATAGTGTCATTTGAAAGAACAGCTGTTAATCGGATAATTGTATTGGCTAAAGAATACGCAATGCATTTATTTTATTTATCGATTTTATATTACAGGTCTGTGCATTACGCGTTACTGAGAAAGCTAGGGCCCGTATCTTGAAAGCTGGAGGTAAGCTGATCACGTTCGATCAGTTAGCATTGTGTGCGCCAACTGGAAAACGAACAGTCTTAATGCAAGGTCGTCGTAATGCTCGTGAAGCCGTGAAACACTTTGGACCTGCACCTGGTGTACCACATTCTCACACAAAACCATTAGTACGGTCTAAGGGTCGAAAGTTTGAGAGAGCAAGAGGCCGCAGGCGAAGCTGTGGTTATAAGAAATAAATTTTGTTTATTTGCCATCATTTATTGTACCATAGCCTTATGTTAACTTACGAAATCTAGGCAGTTTTTGTCTATCTCCACATTCTTTTATATAGAAAGTTGAGGCGGTTGGAAAATAAATGTTGGCTTCGTAACATTTTCACACGTTATTAATTCCTTCATTTCTGGTAATTAATTGTATATTTGTGCATTTAATGTAAAATTAAAAGTTGCAGCAATTTCTTTAAAATGATTTTATGTTATAGGTTGGAAACGAATTGAGGTACTAGTTTGTATTTGTAGTTGATGTTGCCGCATTTTGGCTTTCATCAAGATTTTCTATTATCTCTTTCGGCTTTTCCTCGTCATCAGATTGCGTTTCTTCCGAAGCAGTAATATCCGGAAAATATAAGTTCGATTCCTCTATACCTTTTTCTGGATTTTCACTTACGTGATATGGTCCGATACCGGCAAATCCTAAAAATGTCTCGCATCCTACTTTTTTTACAACGCATACAAATGTTTCATACCTGTTAACGTGAGTTATGTTACGTTTTAATCTTTCATAAAGGAATCGACTAGTATTGATATATATACCAGATATAGTTATATATTGTATAGTGTATAATAGTATTTTTAAATGTACCCCGTTCTTTCTCGCGTGTTTAATTCGAACTCGTCAATACTCTTCGCTATGATTTTTGCTTCTGGCGGTTTGTCGGATTCAAAAATACCGAAATTAATTATTTCGTCCTCAAATTCTTCCAAAACAACCTTTAGATCGTTTTTCTTCGTGTAATCATATTTGAACACTACTATGGGCAATTTTGCAGTTTTATCTTCATACTATGAATTAAAAAAGTTAAAATGTTAGTCCTAGGTACATTAAAGTATAATACACTTACCGGATATGTCTTGTTTGTGTGTACGGGGAAGATCGTGCGAAAAACAATTGCCTTGTTTCTAGAGTTCGGGGGTGACCACACAACAGGAAAAACTTCGTTTTCGGTTGTCGCGTAGGCGGGTCGGTGACGTCCAGCAAAACTAAGAAAAATGAAATTTGACTAACTTGCATTATATTTAAAAGAAACATAGTAGGTCATCTAGTGCTAAACCAAAATGAAAAATTTCTAATTTCTAATTTTACGGACCATTCTTCACTGAGAGACTTTTCCGCGTCAGGAAGTTCCGGTTCTCCAAATAAAAGATTCAACAAGTACTTGTGGATATCAACATCCGGTTTTTCTTCGTTCACTTTCAATCTCATGAACATACATTTACCATCTAAAAGGTGTTGTTTAAAATTCGCTGGCAATACATAATCGGACTGTAATGATAAATTCACTTGAAACGTTTTAAATTTTTAAATAAAAATTCGGTGTTTAATCATCTCTAAAGGTATTAGCATTTTATAATATTTTGTTAGTGTTACTTCATTGAAGAGGGTGGTGAGAATATCCTCGTTAAGTCGTTTCCGTATTTCTTGTTCGACAATGAAATTCCCTGGTAAAATTTCTTCGACTAATTCTATGTACGGTGGGCTCGATTTTTTGTCTCTTTTATGACCTTCTTCATCTTTGAAAATCCATGGGTAAAGTAAAAGACAATTTTCGTTGTTCAATGAAGTGGTCAGGTGCAACATTTCCGCTTCATATCGTGCTATAGCCTCAGCTTCTGCATTAAATTAATATTTAAAAAATAAAAAGTATTGTAAAAGTGAAAGTATTTATTATTATATCTTTTTATTCATTAAATTTTCTACGCGTCAAATCAATACGTAGGATTTATTATTTCGACAAAGCGAGTGCGACGAAACATTGTGAAATTTTTGCTATATATAAAACGTTTTGTTTTTATCTGTATAAATCTATAGAGATTGGGTTAAAATAAGAAAATCGTGTTATGAAATGACAAAGTGCTTATCAACCGTATCTTAAAGTTGTGCAATACGATGGATATATCAATTTATGTGCTAATATGAGTAAAACATCTCTAGTACGTTGTATGCAAAACCTTTTCGAGCCTTTTTTGCCGCTTCTTTAGCTATTCTAGATTCTTCGATGATTTTTAATTGTGTTATTTCTTCCGGACTTCTTTCAGACACATCTATACAAAACCTATACATTCGTAGAAAGTTAAGAGATTATCAACTCCGTATGTACAAGTTTTCTACCATACAAGAATCTACTTTGATTTCCCTTCTGTTAGTTATTTTTTTCTTTCTTATGCACATTTTACGTACTCGTGTTCTTCGCCATTTTGTACTCGGTGTAATTCTGTTGTTAACATTTGCAACAATTGTGGGCATTGCGCGCCGAACATAAGGTTCACCATTCGGCCATTCTAAATAAAAATAGTATCTTATTCCAATTCAGTAAATTAATAATATGAGTTTAATGCATAATTAAAATATGACACTTTAAAAACAATTTGAATGCACACTAAATTCAGAAAATATGGGCATTTTTTATTTGATTTACTTACGTGAATGAACATCCATGTTGGTTCACTTTTCCCTTGGAAACGTTCTAAATCTGTGATGTTATCGCACTTTGCCTAAATTTATATAATTTAATTAACACTTATAATATTTACGCGTTCCGTAGGTGAATTTATAATAAAACAAAGAAAGCAGAAATTACCGTAGCGTAGCTTAACGCGTCTCCTCCGATCTCCATTTTGATTTTCTTTAAGATGCTTACCATTCCTGTACATGGCCCGCTCCATTCTGAATAGACGTCGACCACTGGAAAAGATTAGTTAAAAAATGTATGTACGTATGTTGTACATTATTTAAAAATAATATTTATCTTTTATAACAAGACGTTTACATAATTTATATACTTTCCTATTAAACCAGCTCTTTTGAGAAGCTTCTCCCACTCGTCGTTGTTAGAAATTTCAGTCTGCAATGCCGCCGGTATTGCTTTCTTTGCCATTTTCCGCGAAGACTTTAAACCGCCCTGTACAAAATTATCAATAACTTTTTTTGTTGTTAAAAATTAAAATACGAAAATCTTATTAATAATTTTATTATCGCATCGCGAAATTTTTGTTTACAAAAGCTATGAGAAAAAAATTTTCTTTGCATATTCGAATAACGGCGCGGACAGGCCCTGATAAAATTACGAATATTTAGGTACCCTCTTTCGACGCATCATTTTTAAAGAATGTTGAGTTTACTTTTAATCCAACTATTTTATTTTTTTTTTTTTCAGTGGAATAAAATTTGTATCGCAACCCTTTTGATCTATCTTGCGCGAAAGGTAGCGAAATACTAGAAGCCGTGTATTTCTAAGTCGGGGGACCATGTCTTTCGACTTACTGTACGGGGACATCGGTGACATGGAGGACACGCAAACTCCGGCGATTAAGTCGAGCTCGGGCTGCACAAATACACGCACAGGTAATTATAGCGAACCGGAGGATCGAGGATACCACGATAAGAATTTCCTATGCATTGCTTCCGACATGAAATATTAATCTTACGCCGAATTCCGCGTAATTGCAGTAGCTTGTACTGGTACTGTGCTTTACAAGGCAGCACGATTTATCGAGCTGCATGAATGGTTACGTGATGTCCCCCTTAAATTACGTGGTTCCAGTGAAAAGGTATAAATTTAATCGTGGTTCGTATTAAATCGATTATGAGATAGGTAGGAAGTGGATAATTACATTTTTCTACGTCTGCATAATGGATTTATAGCACGACCAAGTCTAATTAAATCTTCGTTCGATTATTTTGGTCAATAATTGCCATTTAGTTCGACTTCGTTAGAGAAAAAAGTGTCGATGCTCCCGTGCGCGGAGTACCAAGTGCAAAGTATGAATAATTACTCAGGTATACAGAGTATTTACATTAATCTAAATTTTAAATAAGACTTTTTCAACTCCATACAGTTCAGAGTACTGCAGAAATACTATTGCGTAGGATTAAAAGTATTTTATGAAATATTTTTGAGCTGTTGCTGCAGCGTTAGTGCATAGTGTTTATTGTATGTAGATTGAAAATAATTTTAGTAAAAATGTTTACCAGACGAACAGTCTACGTGGAGCCTATACGCCTGAATATTTAACGCCGATTTTCTTACATCGACAGTAATCATAAACGGTATCACCTATTGGCCGATGACCGTTTTGCCTCACAGACACGCATTTATTTATTTTTATTCATTCTTAAAACACAACTACTACGCCAAATATACACGTCATTAGGCTGACCTGGTGTCGAGGTACGGGTGACGCCGATTAGCTTCCCCCTTCTTACCTCTGATGTCATTAAAATTTCTTTTAATTAACATTATATACGCCTCTGTGCAAGTTTCAGAAACATTTGTGTAACATTTCAGACAGTATTATTTGAGATGTTAAGAAAACGTAGAAAGATTTCTAAACTACGAGAACACATTGTTTTCGAAATGTTTATTGTCATCTATTGTATTGTACACTCAATGCCAATAAATTTTTATCGAAAACACTTTTTTTATCAGATGGTCATAACCCTGTCCATACGTATAAAAGTAGGATCTGCATTTATTTATAGGATATATGAAAAATAATTCCTATTGCATATAGTGATTCGATTTAAATAATTGTGTATTTGTAGATGGAGCTACTATCAGTTGAGTCACTTCTTACGATCACATTTGGGGATAAAAATATAATATTGATTAGTGCCACTTGGTGCTACTACTTTTCTAATAATTACTTTACTGGTTATGATTCTAGACTTTCGTGTTGTGTTCATCTTTAATGACATTGTTAAACCTTATTCTATTATGTAATATTTAATCAAAATCATAAGATGTGTCGAGTGTATTGAAGTTTAAAATATTGTAATATTGTAGTAGCATATTAGGCATTCGAGGTTAAAAGATAACCTAATACCAATATACTAATATTATAAGAAACGTTATAGCTTCATTAATTTATTATTACAGCCTTATTAACTCTGTTTAATTACAATTAATCAATTGTCTAACATTCATAACCCTTTTAATGTCCATTATTACAACAGTAACGCTTACCTAACAAATTCTTCTTTAAGTATAGGGACATTTGGTTGTGAAAGGAATCCATTATTCAAAGCTTGCGAGAACTAGTTACCATTCGAAGCCCTCTAGTGGTAAATTAGAGAAATGTCGTTAATGAATCTCAAGAGCATGAAATTTCTTGGATAGTAGAATCGTTTCGCATTTAAATATCTTCGTGTTTAAGATAAAGATTGCTAAATAAGCCTTATTAACAAGTTCATTGACAGATCTAACGAAACAAAAATGTTTTCTCCTCTTGTTTCTTTCTTCTCCCCAAACATGGAATTTAGTTAACGTAATTTTAACGTTGATTATGCCATCTAGATAAATTTTAGATCTCATGAATACCAAGGGTTCGTGTTCGCTTTTCTCTTGCTATCCCCTCCTTTCCCACCATTTCCTTATCTGAATCAGCTGATTATTGTTTTCGTATTTTCAACGGAACAGACCGTTGCTGAAGTTATGATACGCGATACGTTTTAACGGGTGTCTTTTTTCAATTTTCTCGTAAACGCGTCGAAACAGACAACGAACCCGACGGGCACCGCATCGACCAAGAATTCCACCGACGCGCTTCATATTTCGAACAAAAAGATTGACGTTTCGCGGGCGGGGTGACATCACTATCGTTTCCTGGTTGTGTTGTGTCAGTCACTCGCAGAATGACGCAGTAGAAGGTCGTTTCAGAGATGGCGAGCTTCCCAGTATGAAAATACAGTTTTATGGCGAGGTAAATCCAAGATTCTGTTTTCCGTTCATTCGAAAACGATCGAAGTGCAGACGTTTCACCGTAAAACGAGTAATAACGACGTCGTGAGAAGCGATTGTTTTGTTGTGACTAAACTACCTTCTACCCCTTTGTTCGACTTAATGTCAGGGTCGCCCTTCTAACGCCAAGTGTATGAATTTTTTGTTCTGGAATCTGACATGTATTTGTACGAGTTTTTTTTCGGGGCGACAAACATTCGGACTTTCTCTTCGTCGTTGTTCTGACATTTGCGTTTGCCTTTTATAAATCGTCCCTGAGCGTGCACGACGAACAGCTGTACTGGATTGTGTAATATTCTTTAACAGGCAAAATAGATTCTCCCACTACTTTCCTGTCACTCATTTATTCATTATCCGTGTACAGATAATGTTTTGTACATTTCCGAGCACGAATGGTAATGCTTTTGTAGCAGCTTTTTATTTTGTTGATTAGTGATTTCCATTTCGTACGATTCTTATTGACTATGCATGATATTGTTATTAATAGAAGTATGTAAACTGTATGTATTTAATCCGAATACAATAAAATAAATCTTTAACGCGCAATAAACAATTTCTTTTATGTTATCGCGTTTAAAACAATTTGTTTATTAATTAACAAAAATTTTGTTTGCTATTCAAATTAATGCTCGTATGCGAAATTACATGTAATTAATAATAAATTATTTTATTTATCATTAGCATTGATAATACTGTCGTGATATAATTTTTTATTAACATTGGAAATATCGTGTTATTTATTTAAAATTATTTTTTAAGGAAAGCTATAGAAACAATATGTTACTAATTTTTTAAATCAATGAGTGATATATTAATTAGTTTTTAAATGTTTATATTAAAATCATAACTTTCCTCTATTATATTGGAATTATAATTACATACTTATAATCTTTGGTAATATATTGTTCATAGTACATTTGTAATACAATTTTAGTACTTTACATAAATATAACGGATGTAATATTTATTTGCAGGTAAAAACGTTCAGTTTGGGAAGAAAAAATGTCTGCAGACTCTCCAAGGCGTGGTGTGCATAAAGGAGCTCAAGTCGTAACACCTCAACCAATCGTGGACAGAACAATAGTAGACAGCGTTGCGGGGATTATTAATGATATTGTTCCACAGGTTGGTACATTTGGGCATCATCCTTCTCCTTACTTTTTATTAAGAGATATGTATTATCTTGTTTATGTACAGGCTTACGCTGGCACATTAAATTCAGATAACAAAGAGTCTATATCATGGGCAAGATTTGAGTATGCAGACATTAATGATCCTGCCTTATATCCAGACTACAATGAAGGCTCTAATACACCACCTCTATTACTGGTGCTTGGTTATACAACCGGAGTTCAGGTTTGTTTTTTCTTTGTTTGGCTTTTCTGTACGTAATAGAGGTATTGGATGGTAAAAGGACACACGTGCCAAAATGCCATGAAAAAGTAATACAATAATAAAGAAATGGTCATGATTTCCATTACTTGAAATATTCCAAGAATAAAGTTTTATACGCACGATTCAATTCAAATGTTTAATTTGATTAAAAACTAAGTGCAAGGGACTTCTATAGACTCGCATGATTTCTAATTATAGAACATTGTTTTTGTAGTAGTACAAATTTTAAAGCTATATTCTTCTGTACGTATAGATAAATCTTATTTTATCTAACAGTTGCAATACGTAAACAGGCTCATTCATTATTAAAATAAGGGGACATATATGGCTAGTAAAGATAATAATACGATACTCAGAATTTTTTTTAACGAAGGATATATATGGGGGCTAAGAATCATAGCACATTGCCATTATCCCTAACTGCTTTGCTAAGATGGCTGGGCCCTCACCTTAACTATCGGGGGTCCGGTGGTGATTTGACGACGCCTTTGTCACGTCGGAAGGAGGCCAATAAAGACTGACATGTAATACATTTTACCGAATATAGGTATGGTTGATAGCAGCAACGGGAGAAGCAACCGAAGTGTTATCATGGCGGCAAGAAGTGGTACGCACTCTGAGAATTTTACCAAATCCAAAGATTGACGATGACCATGCCGATCTGTTTGATTTGAAACGGCCGATGGTAGCAGTATGTGATTCAGCTGGACCTGGACCACAATTTTGCAACATTAGTTTCATTTCGCTAAAAACTGGGGAACAAGCTAAAAGCATAAAGTTCAAAAATCCTGTTTGCGACATTTTGGCGAATAAGCGATCCATAGTAGTGACATTCACTGAAAAGATCGCGGTGTTTGATGCTCGAACATTGGAAGATGTGTTAACAGTCACTACCTGCTACGCCAGTCCAGTTGCAAATCCAAATCCTGTCGCATTAGGGACAAGGTGGCTTGCTTACAGGTGAGGATATTGTTTCTACGATAAATTCTCGGATATTAAGCTATTTAATCTTTGGACGATCGCGTCTGTAATAAACAATTTTCTATTGTTTCCAGTGAAAAGAAATTATTACCAGCGAAAAGAAGCAGCGGTGGTTGCGAGGGGGAGGGAGTTCAAAGTTACACCGCGACTGTTCTTTACGCTGCAAAATCATTGGGTAAAGGTTTACGCGGCTTGGGAGAGACCGTTGCGTCGAGTTTGACCGGAAACTCGGTGACGCCCATGGTCATCAATAATACGAGCAGTGATGCGACCCAACCAGGCGTGGTTACGATATTAGATCTCCAAGCAGCTAAAGAGGAGAAAGAATTAGATGATGCAAATATAGAGACTGTAATTGCTCATTTTACTGCCCATAGTGATGCAATCGTTGCCATGACTTTTGATTTAAGCGGCGCGTTGCTAATGACCGCTGACAAACGGGGGCATGATTTTCATGTATTTAGAATTCAGCCGCATCCGGGAGGGCCCGCATTGGCAGCAGTGCATCATTTGTATATTTTACATCGCGGAGATACCACTGCAAAAGTGCAGGTATTTATTCTTTATTTTTAAACAAATTATTAGAAAATATTTAATGTTTCGTTATTTTCATATTCCAATCTGAGGATACGTGTTTTATGATTCTCTGTCACGACAGGATATGGTATTCTCGAGCGATACTCGTTGGGCGGCAATTTCAACTGTACGGGGTACTACTCACGTGTTTCCGGTCGCACCGTACGGTGGACCGGTAGGAGTGCGAACTCATTCCACACCTCATGTTGTAAATAGACTTTCAAGATTTCATAGAAGTGCAGGTTTAATGGACGACAGCACCAGATCCCATTCTCCTGTCCCTCATACAGAGTTGCCTTTGTCAATATATTCGTATTCTAATCCAAGACTTCCTCCGTATCCTCATCCAACTGTTCTACACCCTTTAGCGCAGATACGACAACCATATTCGTTAAATTACGTAAACAGTCAAGCTCAACAAAGGTAATTCATCTCTGCATAACACGTATATTAAATGTTATACAGTGGTGCTTTAGAAATTGGCCGGTCGCTCTCGGTTCGTTGAACTGGCAATATCCAAACCATCACTGTATTCTGTGAAAGATCTTCCAAAACAACGAATTATCCCCCTTTCCCTCTACGGATTCATTTTATCGTTTCTAAATTCGTAGAAAGGAAGGGGATGTTTCGTTTCCTATTTTTTCAAGATCTTTTGAACCGTTTTTTATGTTGTGCAGTAGGCCACAGCAGAGACAACGATTGCACTCCGACGATATCGGAATCTTACCATTAAAAATATGTGCTTGCTTCGCACCCCCAAGGGCTTGGATGTATGCACAAAGAGAATCCACCGCGAAAGTTGTGAAGAGGGCAGTCGATTCTCTATTTATCATGGCGTGTCACGGGAATATGATACAATACGATCTAGAACCGAAACCAGTTTCAGGTGAATAAGATACACGTTCGGAAAGTCCCATCGAAAGCGTGCACTTTAGCATTTCTCGTGTTTCATTAACGAATAATACGTTACAGGCGTACCAAAAGAAAAAGTGTGCGACGACACGATGCTTGAATTAGAAGTCGAAGCTAAAGGCCAATGGCCTCTTTTAAGATGCCCGAATTCCTTCGAGATACTGTCACCTTTGCCAACGTCTAGCCCTTTGCTGAGTGTTGTCACTATACATAAAGACATGCAAGACGTCGATTCAGCGGAGGATCGTTGGTTAAGTCAAGTAGAAATTGTAACACACGCTGGTCCACATAGACGGCTTTGGATGGGACCTCAATTTGTCTTCAAAACGTACAATGCGACCAGCGGGTTAGTCTTTCTTTTTTAAATGTTTCACGCTGCACTGGAGAGTTGGAGAGAATGTCCCTAGAATTTTTGGAAAAGACGGATTTCTAATAAATATCACTTGAGGGCATTCTTTATAACTCTTTGAAATTACTGTTATATATTTCTATATTAACAGACGTTTATTATCGATAGAGCTCCAGTGAATCTCGTCGAAACTGAGGCTATTGAAATCGGAGTTACCGGCGTGTCTCGTCCCGCGAGATCAAATCCTGTCAATATGCCGCGTGCTGCATCCAGGGCATTGGTACCTGTCGTTATCGATGGATCAGGAAGTAAGTTTACAAATAACTCATACGCAGAATTTCCTACGTAAGTAGCTTGAAAATCTGCGCTGAGGTTAGAATTAATTTTATTAGGCTCGCGAACAATGTACCAAATAAAATCTAGATACGTATACTGTTTGGTAAAACCGAAGTCAATGTATTTTGTTTTGGAACTTGCATCGCCGATTTACAGGCAAAATACTTTGTCGTTTCCATGCTTAAATTCATTCGTTATTTTCGATAATTCGTACTAATACGAACGACATATTTTCCAGGCAGTTACGAGCAGTCCCCAAGATTCATGGAAGCTTATGGTGATTCCTTAGATAGCGAAAACACGGGCGTTGGTAACGGCGAGAATCAGCTGAGAGAAGACCTTGCCGAAGCGATGCTGGAGACGTCTATCGCGCCTCACCGTGCCCCAGGTGAGTGATCATTCAATGAAACGTGTGGTGCTTTGCTTCGAAACAGCAAATTTACGAATATCCCGACATGTTCCTTTTTGTCGATATTTCTTACACGTTTAAAGTAATTGGTACCGACGAATTCAAGACACTTTGTACAATTTATACTTTCGAACACCCGAGTCGTGCAGCTTCGATACGTCTTGCGAGTAAAACGCGGCAAGGTTTAAAAGACGACAGAAACGAAAAGAATTTTACCTAGGATGTTTCTTTCGGTCGACGATCAGTACCATTTACATTTTTCAAGAAAGCAACATATCGATCGATATCACGACGGTTGCTGAACGCAAAAACTCCTGTCGTGCACATATGGCGACATCCAAAATTCTTTGTTTAGCGATGCTCGTTAGAATAAAAACTTTCACAAGCAACGCGCCCAGACACAGACGCGGTGCTTCTGCTTTCTGCATTTGGTGACGGATGATTGTTAGATTGTAAGTTTGCGTGGATACAGAACTGGCCAGAGGCAGGTATCTCCGTTCCCCCCGTCCGCCCTTAATGACATTCTAACTACTAACAGCAATGTACTATATTTTTTTTTTTCTTATCGACATCTGCTCTTCGAGCCAAGGTAAAACGAGAGTCTACTACCCCCCGGAGAGTATATCTTTTGTCATTTCCGAGTTTCGGGGTAATTCGTACTTTTCTCGTACCTGTTCGAACGGGTCCCCGAAAACGATTGCGATGAAATTTGTGTCTTTGTGGTGTGCAGTGTGAAGAAACTCGTCATAAGATCTTTTTTGTTTTTTTAGAGGTCGTCGTTTAATTTCTTTCACCGTATTCTTGATCTTCCGATTTCACATAAACCCCCCCTCACTTTTGTACAGCGTCGAACCCGGTAGATCAGTCGTTGCTACGTCGTAATCATTTCACGCACCTCAGGCGAGCAAAACTGTTATCTCGCAAAGACCAAACGTTAAAAAAAATAAACGAGGGAGATTGTTATTCGATATTGATACCTGCCAACGGCTTTTTCTGTTACTAGGGAGGCGATCGGTATTTGAGAGGGTGGGTCAACCGGTAACTAAAGTCGTCAACCCTCTTGGCACCGTGATTACCGTATCCGCCGACGAGGAGGACGTTAACTCCGGTCAGGAGTTCGATTCCGCGGAGGAGTGCCACGTACCGGAGCCGCCTAGAAGCGTGTGCGCCGAGGAGGGTCCGGCGTCTCTGGGCGATTTCGAGCCGGATAGCCAGACGTTGCGCGACCTCACCGAGATCTGCGCGGAAATGCGCTCGGCCAGCGAGCCCGCGATCGACAGCGTCCCCGACGAGAACATCTGCGAGGTGAAACAGAAGAAGCTGCTATGCGTGGAGATCGCGCCGCTCGCGAACCCGGGCAGCTGTTCCATCGACTTCGAGAGGGAGGAGGCGTTCCGCGACATGCCCACCAGCCTGAGCCTGTGCGTGGAGCAGGGCGAGATACCGAGCAGCCCGATGACGCAAGCAAAAGAGACCACCTGGGGCAAGAGACTCGACAAACGAGGCGAGAAATCGCACGAGAAGGCTCTGCCGGAGGCTCAGTACGTGGTGAATTGCAGCGACGACAGCGTCGTATTGATGGAGAACAAGTCTGTACATGGACGCAGGAACGCTCCGGCGCATTGCAAGTCGGAGAGCAAGAAAGCTACCGAGCCGGAGAAAGAGAAATCGAAGAAGTCGGGGAAGAACGGAGCTGGTGGTAACTGTGGAAAGCGAGAGTCCAAGGCCCCGATGAAGAGGTATGTGCTGAAGGAACACGAGGACAGTATCGTAATCGAGGATACCAGGGAGGAGTCCAAGAACAATTGCAAGAAGAAGGTGGAAGAGGCGAAGGGCAAAGTGGAGTCTTCGAAGGAGACAGCGACGAAGTCGAAGAGCAAATCAAAATCTTCCGCGAGTCAGGATAGCAGATACGCGAAACCAGCGGTCGAGAGCGATGGTAAATGTTCCGGGAAGCTGGAGGATCCGATCGTGGAGTTAGGATACGTCGTAGAGGGCGCTGAGAAGACGGAGGAGCCGAAGTTCGCGGACGTTGAGAAATGCAAGTCACCGCCGTTGGAATCCACGGATGATTTCAGCTCTATCGAGTATCACATGATCGAGACGCCTTGTTGCAGTAAAGAGGGTACGTCGGTACAGTCCGACGAAGACATCGAGCATATTCAGAGGTCCGAGATCACTCAGTTGCAACAGGCTGAGTGCATCGACGTCGAGAAATGCACCGGTTCTCCCGTTATGCAAAGAAAGAACAGCAAGAACACGATATCCGACGATGATCTGGAGTATATACACACCTCTGAGTTGGTCGAAACGCCCGACAAGAAGTCCAAAGAGGATCTGCTGCTGGAAGCTGACAAAGGCAGTGGTTACGACTCCTCTGCTAGCAAACGTACGCTCTCGGACGATGATTTGGAACACGTGCAGATCTCTGACGTCTGCCCCGTGATTCTGAAAGACGATTGCGAGAGAAAGTCTCAGGAGGCTCCCACAGGCTCGGAACAGGTGACGAAGTCCAAAGGCAAGAAAACGAAGGACATCGTGGTGATCGAGAGCGACTCCTCCGCTGTCGACGTCACCGTGATCATCAAGGAGAGCTGGAAGACCAAGAGCGTGGAGAAGAAAGAAGACCTGGAGGAATGCACCAAAGAAACGGGGATCGTCGAGACTGTCAGCCCCTTGAAGAAGATCAAATCTCGCCAAACGAAGACGTCGCCCTCCAACATCCCTCCCAAACGATCCCCAGGCACGATCGAGATCATCGACATCGACGCGATGCAGAAGGCTGAGATGGAAGTGTTGACTGATACAGTATCGACTCCCGAGTGTAAGATTCTGTCTGGACCGGAAGTGAGTGGGACTCGCGCCAAGAAATCTCGGAAAAATAAAAAATCATACGTAGACAGCAACCCTCAAACCGATCATTCGTCCGAATCCTCGAGAACCGTCGAAGAGCAGAAACCAGCAAACGAGATCTCTTGGAGCGCCATCGTCAAGAAGAAGAGCATCTCCGTGGAGCGAGAAATCCCAAAAGACGACGATAAACTCGTCGAGATCGAGGAAACGATCGAATCCACGGACGTTGCTAAGTGTAGCCTGGAGAAGTCGGATCCAGGGAGGAAGAAGAATCCAATCGTCGAATTGGACCCTAGAGAGGTTCCCGTCGACACGGCTGAAGTGTCCTGGAGCTTGGTCGTGAGACAAACGGACGATCAGGAGAAGAAGGACGACATCGAGACGATCGCGGAGGAACGGAACGAAGAGAGGAAGCTCCGTCGAAAGCACGAGTCCTCGTTTCAGTTCCCGACGATGATCGACAAGCTTCGCGAGGCTGTCGCCGAGTTGGACACCGGAGAGCTCGCGGCTCGCGCAGTGGACGTTTCGTGGAGCTCCATCGTGAGGAAGAAGAACTCCGGCGAACAGGAATCTAAGAAAGAGTCCGATTTCGAGTCGATCGCGGAGGAGTCTGACGATAAGAGAACTGAGAAACACGAGTCCTCGTTCCAATCGACGATGATCGACGAGCTGGAGGCTGCTGTCACGGACATGGACGCGAGAGAGTTCGTCATCCAGCCGCCCGAGCTCGAGGAACAGCCGAGTCTGACCGTGTTACCGGTGATGGTGGACCCGGAGGAACTGGAGACGGAGTTTCTCGGCGATCGAGAGTGGTCTTGGAGCTCGATCGTCAAGAAAAGCACCCCTGCGGAACTCGAGGGAAAGGAACCGTTGCAAGTGGAAGAGCCAGCCGTGTCGGGTGTCAAGATCACGGAGGATCCGGAAGGTGAATTCGCCGAGGGGGATTCCAGCTTTAAAAGCTGCGCGAAACGCTCGAGCGACGAGAAAGAATCCGACGACGACGGCTTGTCAAAGATCGAACAGCTCCCCGTGGATCTAGGGTTCCTGAAGGAGGACTCGTCGGAGCCTGAAAGGGACCCCGGGAAGAGGAGCGACTCCGAGCACGAGGTCGTGCCCGAACGTTCGAGTTCCTCGGACGAGTTGAACGCTAACGCGGCGTACGCGGACGCGGATGGGGATTACTCGGTGCAGGCGGCGATCGATAGGAACGCCGCCGTTGGCGCGACCGCCTCGGTCTGCGCCACCTCCAAGAAAGGCAACAGATCGAAGAAAAAGAAACGCAGATGAGTAGAGGATTGCATGGATGTGCCCGGGGCCAGCCTTGCCCTTTACATTCTCCTGATGCAAGTAGCGGGAGCCGATTAGCGAGAACGCGGACCGAGAATCTCCGCGTTCTCGATCCCCCCGACCTCTCTGTTCCGGTCGTTTTTAAACGTAAGATGTATCTTAGAAACATATACGAACATTTTGCGAGCGTCCTCCGAATATTTTCTAAAACTACATTCGATGGATCAACCGTGAAACGTTGCGACATTGCCTTCTTCTCGTCCTCGACTAATTTCAATCGTTAGTCTAAGTACCAAACTATTTTAATTTGTAATTTGTAATTTTGCTCCAATCAGTGTTCGACGCTCTAGTATGGAATAAACCTTCGTGAATGGGGCAATGTCGCCGCGTTTTACCGCATCGTGAAAAATGAAGGAGACTGTTGCAGTATTATTACACGTTAGAAAACGACGATTCGAAAAGATACCGCACAAGACGCTCGGACGAAAATGTTCTAAGATATTCTAAGGGCAAGGCTGCACCCTCGGACGTGCGTCCGTCGACGTTCGATCGAACGCAAAAAAAAAAAAACATGATTAAAATGGAACAAAAAAAAGAAAAAAGAATTGTCACGTAGAATTTTTTCGAGACGAAACTTCTATATAATAAAAAGAAAAACTCCGTCTGTGGTTCGAGGAATTTATCATAGCGATTTCTGTTTCGACTGCCTTACATCGTCGAGTAAATCGAGTCTACTGTTATCCGTGCGGTGCGTACGAAAAGTGTTTTAGCTTTACCGTTACCGGTCGACGAATCCGATAACGAACGCGATCGTTTATACGACACTGACAATTGGCGATTCAAACCTTATTCGACTGCTTTTCGTTTCTACTAGAATACGGTGGCGAGCAGGGATGGGCAGAAATGTGTCTCAACGAGTGTAGCGAATCACGAACACCTTGCTGATTTATATTCTGTTTGTAATCGAGCGCTTAAAAGTATTTGCACGTTCGCGTTTGGTGGCTGTGCAGCTGTAGAATACCTTTGTTTGTCTTCGTTGTCGAATACAGAATACACAGGTGTTATGCAACTATCTGCGAGGCTTATGGCTTTTGATAAGCGATATTTGTAGATATTTTTAGAAGGGAAAGCATCTTTAGAAATTATTTATACACGTACGTTGAAATCAAGATAGAAATCAGTTTCTAAATAATTGTGTACATTCATTTTAATTTATTTGTATACAAAATTTGAAGGGGGTACATACATTGAAATCAAGATTTAAATCAATTTCTAAATAATTGTGTACATTCATTTAAATTTATTTGTATACAAAATTTGAAGCACATACGTTGATATCAAGATAGAAATCAGTTTTTAAATAATTGTGTACACTCATTTTAATTTATTTATTTGTACATAAAATTTGAGGAGGATACATTAGTATCATATAGACTGTTCGGACACCCTTGGAAAAAATTTTAATGGGAGATTCTAGAGGCCAAAATAAGACGAAAATGAAAGATACTAATTTGTTGATTGAGGCTTTGTTAAAAAGTTATTTATGTTTAAAGTTCCGCTCGTACTGAATTTTTTTCTCGAAAATGGTTAGGATTTCGAGGGTATGTCTATTGACCAAAAATTATTATAATTGACCCCCGCAACCGAAAATAATTTTTCCAGGACGATTTGAGATTTTTTAATTTTGTCGACAAATTTGTCCACCTTCTTGAATTTTTTTCTCGAAAATGGTTAGGTTTTCGAGGGTATGTCTATTGACCAAAAATTATTGTAATTGACCTCTGCAATCGAAAATAATTTTTCCAGAACGATTTGAAAAAATTTTTTTTCGCTGAAAAATTTAAACACCAAATAAATTTATTAAAGATAGAGAAGATTGGTCAAGGACTTAATGTAACTAAATAAAAATAGGTCTGGGTTAGGTCTGGGTTATTTCCCCAGCTACCCTCTGTCGATTTTTCTTAAAAATTCGATTTTAATTTTAATAATTTTGCTTTACGTCCTTCGAAAATTTTGTTTAGTACTTTTTTTGTAGGTATCCATGAGCTCTACTTCCATACTAAATTTTATTGAGATACGTATACTATTGTAGAAGTTATGGACGTATGAAGATTGGACCATCTTTATGGGGGTTTTCTCATTTTACGGGGTTAAGGAACAAGTTTTCGAATGTTCTTAGACTTTCTACGTATTCTTCACCAAAATATGCGTTGTTTGCCGTTTGAAACATTAAAATCCTCCTATCCGTTCAGAAGTTACGACATTTTAAAGATTCACATGAAATTTTGGGGCAACATTTCGGGCTATAAATTACATTTTCGATTAGGAATTTTTTTCTTGAAACTGAGTAGGATTTCGGGGGTATGTCTATTCACCAAGAATGATTGTAATTGACCCCTGTAACCAAAAATAATTTTTCCAGAACGATTTGAAATTTTTTAATTTTGTCAAAAAATTTCACTTTCTCGAATTTTTTTCTCGAATGTAAGTAGGATTTCGAAGGTATGTCTAATGACCAAAAATTATTGCAATTGGCCCTTGCAACCAAAAATAATTTTTCCAGAACGATTTGAAATTTTGTAATTTAATTTCTGAATGACTTTTTAACGAATCAACAAATTGATATTCTTGATTTTCGTCTTATTTTGTCCTCTAGAATCTCCCATTATAATTTTTCCCAGGGTTAACCGAACACCCTGTATACACTTGGCCTCAGATTATGTATTTGTTATTCGATAAGAAAACTGAACATAAGTACTTCTAATTAATTAAATAAGGAATTCTTTAACACGTTGACTGCCATATAATAAAAGGACCTGAATACCTGTAAATTTAAAAATAATTTTACTTACATTGGGAATGCTACCAAATACAAAGTACTCCATTAAACTATTAAATATCTCTATTAGTTATAATTTGAAAAATTGGTAATCTACGCGTTAATTAATACGCATACACGAATACAAAATTATTATTTACACAGAATATAATGCGCAAGGTCGTTCGTAGCTCGTCCAAAGCACCGAATACATTCAGTATTTTAGATGTATTTTAACGAAAAGCTAATTCCGAGCCGTCCCTGTTCGCGAACACGTTATCGTTTCAGTTTTTGCACAAACAAACGCCTCTGCCGTACGAACAGTCCGATCGGAGTCGTTCGCCCCTTTTGTATGCCACCGAAGACAACCGAAATGCTTTCCATGAAAGCCATCTGTAAAATTTCGAACGGTTTAGAAATTCATTAAAAGAATTCTCGGGTCGTCATTCTAGGATCACACTGTGTGTAAACGAGCGGAAACATTCGTCAGCCCCCGTTCCGAGTTCCCCCCCTCCCGGGCATTTTGTAGCGGACGCAGTTGGAAACGAATAATCACGAATCGAGCTTTGTTAGTTCTATTCACCCGCGAGGCTTACCGTAAACGTTGTTAGCCGAGAGTAAACGATATACTTTTGCAAAACGTAGCCAGGCACGCGCAGCAAACGAGAAAAGAAAAAAAAAGAAAAAAACGTGTTTCTTCTTCGTGAATGTTTGAACTTGTTCATAATTGTCGTTGGCCGTGAAACCGGTCGCCAGTAGGTTTCGTAGATCCTTTTTCTTATACCAAGAGGAAAGAGAAAAACAACTAGTTAGTACGAATTTTATCGATATCGCCACGATGGGGGGCAAAGAAAACAGTGAAATACAAGGTGTATCGAGATTACACCGCGTTCGCGTATTTGCGTTTAGGAGGAGTATCACGAAATAGCGATTAAGTGTCTTACGTGGGTAACTGTTTTAAATCCAAAGGATTTTAGTTGATTTGTGATGCAAATCGGGTGAAAGAGGTGACGATTCACCGTGTATATATTTATCGTAATCTTCGATCATATGAATTCGCAATGCATATGATAATTGGACGTGTGTTATGTAACGTTGATACGCGTAAAGAGCATTTTCTTGCATCGTATGCGAGCAAGGACACGATTTAGAGCGGGATCGGGTTGTACCGTAGTTCGAACGGAATTCATTGGCCGCTCAAGGTCGCTGGTGGCTCATCCCCCACCATATTCTGTCTTTCGTCTTCTCTCAAGTGATGGACATTCGTGGGAGTTTTGAACATGCGCACTAGAACTTTTCCTCGTGGGATTCCTTTCCGCGCATGCGTCAGCTTTCCGCCATAGATGTATCTTCAGCGCAAAAAGAGGTGCATGTTTTGTACAAAATTGAACTTTCCACTTCAAATGCTCGCCAATCACACAAAAATTAACTTATCGAAGATCCCCTACGTATTTCTCTAGCTATACTCACGTAGATTAAGAGGAAATTTTTTGTTTTTGTCTCTTTCCCTGTAACTTCCTTAAATTTTGTTTCTTACTGGGATTCAACGGTACCCTAAATTCTAATTAAGTTTATACCCCAAATTCCCACGAATGTCCATCACACTGCTCTCAACCTTCTTCGATACGACTGGTCGGGAACTATCAATCGTTCGTAAAGCTCACTAGGGAAATTTTTACAGAATCACTCGAGAGCTCTGCAGGTTCGAACACTCGATGTTCGAGTAGTAATTTATTTTGGGATACATATAAGTATTCCAAAAATAATTTTATAACGTTCGACAAGTATCGTATTATTTTCGAGGATTCGTGACGCTCTCTATCCCTCGAGAAATATTTTATTGCGGAACGAAAATATTGATATGTACTTGGGAACGCGTTTGATATCGATTTACGATCGACGATTTAGGGAAACGGCCTTGAGCGGCCAAATTGTTGCTCCGGCCACGTTACAGCGAGATCTCGTTTCGATGTACTAGATAATTTTTTAATTTTCGCACTCGACCAGGTACCTGTCTTTTCTGGACGCTGTTTAAAAATTCTTAGCTCGTTCGATATACTATTTAGTTTCGATCCGCTCGGATTTTAACCCTTAGACGCCTGTTAGATTCCTCTGGCTCTAAGCTTCCGAGCCGAGCTCCGAGCTTACGAATTCTTCTCCGCTCAATGTGTTCAGAAATTCCAAATTTCCTCGATAAAAAGAAAAAAGTTCTTCACGGACGCGAGATATTTTTAGGAACTATAACACTCTGCGTACAAAGTAAATCGAAAGGTATTCCCACGTTTTTAAACGAGTCGACGATATTAATTTCATCGCCAGAGCTTTCGTTTCTCAGATAAATGTATTTAAAAGTCTGTCGGGTGTACTGGCTCAGAATATTCGACGATTTTTATTTCCTTTCACGACGATAGTCCTCGATGGATAGTCTTCGGTGCACAAGAACATGTTCAGCTATTTTTACGAGCATGATATTACTTTAAATAATCGAAAGTTTACCTACAATAGGTGCATTCAACAATTTTTAAAGATATTTTTCTGGGAACCGATGACTAAGAAAAAGGTAAAATTTAATATTCGTCTTTGACTAGTTTAGAGTCATCTAAAGAAATCATCCCCCTCCCGGGTGTACCACCAACTACCACCCTGTGTATATAATTGACCTAACTTTCGGTTTCTACAAAAAAAAACTTGTTAACGATTGTTCGACTATTTGTAAAAAAAAAAAAAAACCAAAGACGATTAACGATGAACGGTCGGGCTACGGTTTCATCGACACGGATATGTAATATACGATATAATAGTTGAATATTCCATGGAACACCTTGTGCCGCAGAGTTATCCGCTTAGCTTTTCAAACACGTTGGTTATAACAACGTGGTTCCTCAGAAAAGAAATCTAGACCAGTGTTTCTCAGTGCTTTCTTCGAAACTTTCATTCTGAGTACAAGTTTTATACTTTCAATATATTTTGCTTTTATTAGAAGTAGTCAAAAAATAGTGAATTTTATTAGATTCTATATTTTTAGTGAGGTAGTTTCACCTGCAAGTTCCTTGAATTTTTTGAAACTACTCAATGGAAGAATTTATTATCAAATATCATCAGTAAAAAAATAGCAAATTTTATTAAATTCTTGATTTTTAGTGAGATAGTTTCACCTATAAGTTCGTAGAATTTTTGGAAACTATTCAATGGAAGAATTTATTATTATTCACCATTAGTATCAAAATAGCAAATTTTATTAGATTCTTCATTTTTAGTGAGACAGTTTCACCTACAAGTTTGTAGAATTTTTTGAAACTATTCAATGGAAGAATTTATTATTATTCACCATTAGTATCAAAAATAGCAAATTTGATGTGATTTTTAATTTTTAGTGAGATTGTTTCACCTACAAGTATATAGGATTATTTGGAATTATTTAATGAAATAATTTATTGTTAAATACCACGAATAAAAAAATAGCAAATTTTATTAGATTCTTCATTTTTAGTGAGATAGGTTCACCTACAAGTTCGTAGAATTTTTTCAAACTATTCAATGGAAGAATTTATTATTAAATACCACGAGTAAAAAAATAACAAATTTTATTAGATTCTATATTTTTAGTGAGATAGTTTCACCTACAAATTCGTAGAATTTTTTTAAACTATTCAATAAAATAATTTATTATTACATATCACGAGTAAAAAAATCGCAAATTTGATTAAATTCGTGATTTTTAGTGAGATAGTTTCA